TTAATGTGACCCCACCACTTAGTTCACAAGGCTGGAGGGCAAAGGCCAATCAGCCTGCTCTGACCCCTTAGGACAAGGACATACCCACATAAATTGATAAAACCTCACCGGTGGGATAATTCAGCACTGAAGTCCATAAATTCTAACAGACCACGCTCAGAGGGTGTCGTTTGTGTTAGGTAAGATACCCTCTTGTTGACACTGAAGGCTATGAATCCCTGCTTGTTCAAAACAAGCCAGCCCTTTGTCCCTGTCGGATATGGTACATCTGAACACAGCTTTATCAGCATTCAGAGATGGTTAGAGGGCTCTCCACACATTAACCAGAGTATGTGAAGTGCTCTTGGAAAACAAATTAGACATTGCTGAGAGGAATGAGTGAGCCCCTCCTTGCTTTAAATTGTAAATCTGTTTATTGGAACACTGGTCACTGTCAGAAGTACATGTATCTTGTTAATATGGGATAGAGTACAACGTAACTTTGAGTGATGGCTAAGTAAAGGCCACAACTCACACTAAGCACTGTACTATATGGGCCTTCTATAGCATTATACATTCCTGAGAAGTTCTGGGCAAGAAAATGTAATCACAAATTACTCATTAAAAAAGTAATCACTTTACTAACTACTCAACAGCAGAAGTTAGGTGTTACATTACTAATTACTTATGTAAAAGGCTCCATTTAAAAATTTCAAAGCCTTTCACAACAGCTCAAAGCTACTTACAGCAGTGACTGCATGAAGTCCCGTCACTCACCACCAAACCAGATTCATGAATACAGTGTTACCCCGATGTAACATTAGCAAGCCAGCTTCGACGACAGCATATGTAGATATGACACCTTTAGAATAATTAGGACGTTTCAATTTTTTCTTCATTATACGACAATCAAGCGTACAAGTATGCCTTCTACAGGTGTGTAATAAAAAACATGATTGGAATCTCTTCACTTGACTGAACAATATAAAGAAGTTACAAAAGAAGAAGTGTTTCCAACTGATTAACAAGAATAGTATTGGTGCAACAAACATTCACTGACTGGCACATCAGCAGTCATTGTGCTGGCAGTGTAGACAGTCCTCAAATTTTACATCCGTGCAGACCCACTGAGGACATGAAAGGCATAAATTGGCTCGAACAGTCCTCCCACACCTTCAGCTCGCAGATAGATAGATAGATAAATAGATAGATAGATAGATAGAAATAGAAATAGTCTTGTCAAGATATACTGTATGTTCATAAAACATTTCTAAAGGTTGTGAGGAGATTTTTTTGTGCTAGCTGCCTCTGTGTATTTACAATATGGGATTACATTATTATTAAACTATTATAAAAATTATGACCATACCTATTGTTCACATTGTGCTGTTAAGTTTGTCCAAACTATTAAATCCCTTGCACTCCAAGTCTTGTAAATACTTGTGCTTTTTGAACACTGCTCACACTAATGTCGTGAATCCTAGGACCCTTTTGTTTTTATTACAGACCAGAGTTACTGACTCATGAGGGTTTTAAAGGCTGATGCAAGTCGTTGCCTCGGGGGCTTGAAACTAAGCCAGAGGACTATCTGCTCACAAAGTTTGCCTTCTGCCTCTCACATCATAGGTGTGATATTGTAACAGCTTTGCCATCATATGCCATGTAAACATTAACTGTTTCAAACATAAACATAGCTGCAAACAGCAGCTAACAGGAAAGAAAGTACTCGCGTCTCATTATTCCACAAACCCTGGGAATGAGCTGCACTTAGCTGACAGTACTTAAAAATACACATCTAGGAAGCGGCATGTTCTCCCTGTGCCTGCGTGGGTTCTCTCCGGGTACTCAGGCTTCCTCCCACAGTCCAAGACATGCAGCTTAGGTTGACTGGCGACTCTAAATTGCCCGTAGGAGTGAATGTGTGTGGTTGTTTGTCTACATGTCAGCCCTGTGATAGACTGGCGACTTGTCCAGGGTGGACCCCACCTCTCGCCCAGTGTCAGCTTCGCAGTAGACAAACAGTAGAAAAACACAAAGAGTCTACCTAATAGAAGTTCTTAAAGCTCCAGTGACATGGTAATCTCACTCAACAGAGAAGCACATCTGGTGCTAATGGTTGTCAGGCCTATGAATGACTTCTCAGAACCACTGAACTTCATGGGGAGGAAAAACACTAGGCTGATAAAGGTCTGGTTTAGACACAAGAAAAGACACACTTCAGGTCATTAATGTGGATTAATATCATCATATTTATTTTATGATATCAGTCTTGTTTGAAGGCCACAATATGCTAACCCCTGGACATAGGAATAAAGCTTATCTCTCACACTAAGGTGGCATATTTGAAACATATTAAAGCTCCAAACACTGCTAGAGGTTGTATGACGGAGATATTCACTCAGTAATTGACTACCATGAACCTGCGAACAGAGTTCCCTGCAGACCTCCCTCTTTCATGTTATTAATTCAGGATAACAACAACCTGCAGTTTATTGTGGCAGCTACCTCCTTAAACCCTCAGATGTCACTGTACTGAGAAATTTTTATAAGCCAGTACACTCTGGCTCTTTGAGGAAGTGTTAAATTTAGTCTGAAATAACCAATGAAAGCTGTGTCACTGGACACTTAAGACCATATCTATTTTGCACAGTATTTAGTTGACATAAGATGTTATTAAGGATAGGATATTTAAAGAATAGTGTATATTATGTAACAAGCATATAACTGGATGGTTTAGATAAAACCCTATATACTTTATAAGAGGTCTCCTAATTTGCAATGCTTAAGATTACTGGGTTGCTGTAGGTGGCAAGTGACAGTAGGTGCTGTTACCAAAAATAAATGGTGATTAAACCAGCTAACAGTATGTGGAGGTCATTTGTACACGACTTTTAAAATTTTAAAAACACATACTGCAGGAAGACAGATGCAAGTCAACGCCCAGCTGCTATGACTTGTTTTAGATTTAGAGGTTCTGTGTCAGGTTTGCTCGACCGCTCTGGCCTCCCTCACCTTTCCTACTGTCTCTTGCCCATTAACACTAATCATGTTCACCTGTTCCTCACTCCCTTATCACCAGCTGCACTTGATTAGGTCACTCACTATATTACCAGGTTTCACTCCTCAGTCACTTGCCAGTTCATTCTAGTCACTAGGCCAACCTTACTCCGTGCGTTGTCATTGTTTTAGTATGTATTTATCCCCTAGCCAGCTCCTGTTTTGTGTTTCCCCGAAGGACTGTTCCTCCAGACCATGGCTCCACTCTCTCCTCCCAGGCAGGTCAATGCACAGTCACCTATCTTTTTCCACTATTGCCTCCATCTCTCTGTCCCTACCTTCAGTAACCACCATCACCGTCGCCCAGCCCAGGAGTGACCCCACCTACGCAGCTCGGCCCAGCTCTCCATCTCCTCACCTCCTGCGGTTGGTCAAACACCCGGTTACTACTCATCTACAGGACTACGTATCATTTCCCTCTGTGTTTTTTGTCATTCCCTTGTTCACTGTATATAATAAATCACTGTATGCACCGAAGCCGGCTACCTGGGTCCGCCTCTTTCCTCGTTCGCACGGCTCCTAACAATTGTTCCGAAGTATTGCATATTTTTTACTGTCAGTCCAAGCCCACTGCTCGTAACCAGCCTCCGCCCCACCGTGATCCAGCCTTGGATTCTAGTTCCTCTTTTCTAGAAACTAAACCATCCGAATACATAACTAAAAAACCAGAAACTCACATCTGACTGAAATACCAAAATTCCATCATCGCTTTTTAACAGAACAATCAGAATTACACACTGATTTCATACAAAACTATCAATGCCTTAAAATCAGAACATAAATCTTTATATTTTGAATACTTTACTTTGACTAAACATGGATTATCATTGATTAGACATTGATCAAACAATTATCAGTCAGATCTTTACTTTTATGCCTGAAACATGTATTCTTGTTACTTCCTCGGTATGGTGTGTGTCTCTTCTCTGTGCGGCAGGCACACACGAACCTTTGCAGTTCCACATTTTAGGGATGTGTGTCTACTTCCTCTTGTGTGATTCTGTACTTCCCACTCTTAGATGTAAATTCAGTTTTCCCCATCCTTTCAATACAACATTCCACTTATCATGGAAAAGCATGGTTTCCATTTTAAAATACAATAAGAATACCGCTCATTTGAAATAAAAGCTAAGCCTAATCTTGACCATAATCCTGATAAATTCAACCAAAGTCCCAAATGAAAATATTTGTGGTTGATCATGTTTAAATTTGTGACATAAAGCACATTGCAATAAGATGCACTAAATGCTTTAGTTCTCTCATTTTAGAAAAACAGACATAACAGGTGTGGCAAATTGTAAATAACCATGAGCTTAATAAAAAAAAGTATGAGTTGAAATTTCAACTCGAACCAAGTACCTGTGGCTGAGGCCACCCACATTCCCACCAACCTCTAAAAACGTAACAAGTTGCTTTTATTAGTAGTACTCTTATCATTATTATTGTAAAAAAATCATTTTTCTCCTCCTCCTTCCTTTCTTGCATTTCATAAATTGCAAACACTCCGTATCTTTTTGTAATGTCATGCATCTGTTGTCTGGTCCCCCATGTTTGGTCCTGTTTTGTTCATGTGTTACTTTGTTTAAATAAATGTTAAAAAACGTACTAGCACATCAGGCAGTGCAATTTTGTTAGTCTAAATCTGAAGCTTTTTAATTGACAAATAAAACAGCAATGATCAGTCCTTGTAAGAATAATAATGGATGATGCCATGAGGGTTAAAATATACCTTAAAAATAAAGCAAGGCATTATATGTAATCTCACCTGTGAGAATCAAAAACACACAATTACTCCTTATTAACTGATTTGTGACTTGACCCTATTTCCTCCTTAAACATGAGGACAATTTGATGAACTTTGGTGAACATCCTGCCTGTCCTTCCTGTGTCTTCCCCCACCCCTTCCTCTCTGTAAAAAGAGGAGGGGGTGGAGCAGCAGACTCTTGAGACTGTGTACACTGAGGCCCAGCAGCCAGTACTGGGGAGGACTGAACTACCAGAGGAGCAGGCTGGAGGTTGTGGGTCATAGATCTAGAGGTTTTTTCCTTTTACACCAGTGGCAGTGAGGACAGCTGTTGTTGGAGATGACTAGGCTGTCACTGCAGGAACAGCATCCCTCCACTTTGAGAACGTTTCTCTGTCCCGAGAGCCTGAGAGTTACTGGAGAAGTCTGATCTACAGATATCACAGGATTTCTACCTCAGTTAAGTGTTAGGTAAGAGTTAAAGCAGTAAATTTATTGATGATTTAGGGACTGTATGAAAATTAATGTGGTGTTGATGGGTGGCAGAACCTCATGTTTAACTTTATTTTAAAAATGTATCAAAAAAGGTAAGTCTATTACAAAGGAAGGCAGAAATAATCCAAATAGAAAAGAAACCCTGCTCTCCCAAAAAATGTCAAACTACACAATTTTCAACTATAAAGAAAGTTACAATACCTTCTCCTACTAATCATTTTTGTGCAGTCCTTAAACTAAAAAAATGACTATAATATTATTGAAGGGAGGGTCTGCAGTTCATTATTGTGATTTTTGAGTGGGTTTATACTGAGGACACTGACAGCTGTGTAAACTAAAGTCACATTGGGCCTATATCCCTACTAGACAGTGAGGCAGTTTGATTTAATACGGAAACATATTCCTGTGGTTACATAACAGGCCTGCATACAATACTTTATGAAATATGTCTTTTAGGGGCTTTCAAAGAGGATCAGTGGCAACCCTGCTGAATAAAAGTGATATTCATAACCAAATTCCAGGATGAAGACTCATCTCCTCTGCTTCCTCTTGGCGGGTCACCTTCTTGTGGCCAATGGGCAGCTGGAGCCAAAACAACAAGTGCCCCAGGAGTCTCTCACTGTTACCCAGAGACTTGGGCTTGTAGAGAAGGATGCACAAGCTCCGATGAGGCCCAATATCACCATGCCTCGCCGCCGGATACCCCCAATGTGCACTGGAACCACAGAAATACGAGACACCTTTAAGTATATCCACACAGTGGTGTCCTGCCTGGTGTTCGCTGTCGGTATTATTGGCAATTCTGCTCTCCTCAGGATCATCTACAAGAATAAGGGCATGCGTAACGGGCCAAACATCCTGATCGCCAGCCTGGCACTTGGTGACCTGCTGCACATCATCATTGGTATTCCCATTAATGTCTACAAGGTGAGTCAAAGTGCAGAATACAGTTGACTTAAAAGTCATATAGGCAGAGTAACAGGTTTATATTGATGATTTTCTGCTTACCAGTATTTTTATTTCCAATCAATTAAAAATTCCCTTAGCATCTCATTGACTTTGTGCTGGCCTTTTGCCATTTTAATATCCATGTAAATGATCTTTTAATGACTTTTAAGAATTTTACTGCATATTGGACCCCTTGCCTAATGCATACACACATGCAAACACACATTCACACTCTTGAAAAGGAGCTTCCAAGTACTTTACATGATATTACTTTAGTGGATTCTGAGCCTCTCTCTACCCTATTGAGCCACTGTTGGGCTATTTTGTGCATGTGCATGTGGGCGAGTGCGTGTACCTGACTTTCTATGTTTTTGTGGACACATTTTAGTTTTAAATCCATTGTTGTGAGGACATTTTGGCCAGTCCCCAAACATCAAATGGTTGTTTAGGGTTGAGATTTGGTTTTAGGGTTCAGGTTAGAATTAGATTTAGTAGCGGGTTAGGGAATATATTATGTCAAGCAGCATCCTCACAGCTACTGAAAGATAAATGTGTGTAGGAGAAAAAGAGAGAGAGGACCAAAGTATCTGTATATTTGGGTAAGGGGGCAAGCATGTTAAAACAACTGGTCACAGCTGCATACCAGAGCAGAGACAGGACAGACAGGATGATATGGGGAGATACAGGCCCACATATGATTCCAATTCATTCACACTCACATACCAGTCACCGGTCCAAAGCAGGCATGGCAAGTCAAACATTACACAGATTTAGAAGAGTTTTGTTACTCTGCTTCTCGGGGTTATGGTGCTCTGAGGTCAAACACGGGGTCTCCCTGTGTTCTCAAGACCAGACCAAATGCTAAACCTGAAAAACAGCTCTGAATGTTCATCAAAACCAGAAGGTTCAGCTTCACACATGTCTGGTCAACACAGCCAGAGGCTGGGAAACACAATTTGTACAGATGTTTGATTATGATGTTGTGTTATGGTAAAAAAAAAAAATGTGTCTGAAATAGGAGCCTGATAGTTTGTAGATATGTGAGCAATAAGAAAAAAACAGCACCAAAACTTTATTTCCATTTAAAATCAGTGACATCGATGGGTAAAATGAATTTGAATAAATTGGTTCGTTTAAATGCTGTGGGGGCTTTTGCGCCTGTTCACAATATTTATTCTATTTCTTGCTGAATCAATTTCTACTACAAACTAACAGCCGTTTACTGATGACTATGAGGTTATCTATTTATATCATGAAGCACAATGCAATAAAAACACAACAACCCAACACCTTTGACCCCCAGTGCCTGAAGCTGAAACTGTATTATATGTGGCAGCTACCAAGCAGCTCACACCATTATACAGGACCTGAATATTTATGGATCATTGATCATAATGCCAAAAATTACACAACAAACCAGCCATAATCATTAGTCAGACTGAGCCATCTTACCTTAAAAAAATTATTTTGACTCCCCTTCCATTGTATTACATCTGAGAATTCTTCATATGTCCCAACTTGAAAGTGACCAGGCCACTTCCAGACTAGCCCTCCCACTACTGACATGGAGCCAGACAATTTGCTTCACTCCCTACTGTGGCTCAAGTCAGTCATCACCTCTGTCTCTGTCTGTCTCTCTACAGCTCCTGGCAGAAGCCTGGCCTTTCGGGGTGACTCTGTGCAAACTGGTGCCATTTGTCCAGAAGGCTTCAGTGGGGATCACGGTGCTGAGTCTGTGTGCTCTGAGTGTTGACAGGTAAACCCAGCCACACAGAACAGGTATACTCAGCCTCCCTCATGCTAGCTTTTCAGTTTCTAACAAAAGTCAGGGGTTACTGAAACACTGAGTAAGGACTTTTGATATGACCTTTGACTTCTTGTTTGCTTTTAACTATGGTAATCTGTAAACTGCCAATTATTCTGTTACACTTGTCAACCTCATCTGGATATGATGACACATTTGTTTTTGTCTAACATTTTAAAATAAAGTGAAGAATTTTTATATTCAAAATATTTATATTATTTATTTTATATAGTTTCTCTTATTTCAAAAAGGCCTTTTAAGGATAAAAAAGCTAAATGCAAATTCTAGTTTCCTCAGAATAAGAGATACTGTTACTCATTTTCTTAGAATTAAACCAAGATAGAGCATGTTAAAGGATAACATCTGTGATTTTCTTTCTTTTTTGGTTGTTTTCCCCAAAAATACAAATCCAAAATCACTGACATATACCTTCAAGTTTTGACAGTTTCAGATCGTGTACACAATGTGGTAAATCATGTTATATGTAGGACTATAAAGACTGGAAACAGCACAGACCAGCTAGCCTGGTTAAAAAAAAACCTACCAGTGCTTGTAAAACTTATTTCAGACATTATATCTTGTTTGTATAAGTTGTACCAATATAAGAGTTAAAGTGATAGGCTGAGGTTTTTTGACAGCTTCAGTGCTGGTTAGCTAAGTTGAACTAACCATCTCTTGCTACATTTTTATGAGCAGGTATCAGTGTTCTCAGCTAGTTCTCAGCAAAAACATTAATAAGAACATTTCCCAAAATGTCAAAGTACCTTCAGAAATTGACTGTACACATGATGGATCTTCCAGGTATCGTGCTGTGGCCTCATGGAGTCGTGTCAAAGGGATTGGAGTCCCAAAGTGGGTGGCTATCTCCATAGCACTCATCTGGATTTTATCCATCGTCCTAGCTGTGCCAGAGGCTATAGCCTTCGATGTGATCACCATGGACTATAAAGGAGAACATCTAAGGATCTGTCTATTGCATCCAATGCAGAAAACTGAATTTATCAGGGTGAGCTGAAAACACACAAACCTTCAGACACCTGTAATTCATTGTGGAGAAAAATTGTGTGTGTTGACACAGCTGTGCACACTACACACCTACATATGCACATATAATACAGACTGACATGTACAAAAACACATAGAGATGTAGATGTGCATGTTGGCACGCATGCAAATTTGTGATTTATTTAACATTTCAGTGCACATATTGTCAGTGATATACTCCACTATTAAACTGATATTTTGCATGCTGCACCTTTAACTCTCCAGTTCAGAGTTTATGCATAATTCAATTCTGTTCTTCTATTTCCTCTGTAGTTTTATAAATCAGTGAAAGACTGGTGGCTGTTCACTGCATATTTCTGCCTGCCCTTGGCCTGCACCGCTATTTTCTACACGCTGATGACCTGTGAGATGCTGAGGAAGAAGAATGGAGTCCAGATTGCACTTAGTGATCATCTTAAACAGGTTTATTTTATTTAGTCAATTTGTCATTCATTACTGGCTGTCATAATATCAAGGGTTTAAAGTTAATGTCACATTACACTCATTTAGTTGCAGGACTATCAAAAAACCTGCCTTAAAAATATTTTCAAAACTATAAACCCCCTAGAAACAATACAGACCAACTTTACTGCAGTCTAAGCTGAGACTTTTTGATGTTCCACTTAAACTAGTGTGTAATTATGATCACAAATCTTTTAGCTTGCAGAAAAAAATGTACTTAGTTTTAAAACTTACAACTTCTTTGTGGCTAAAATTTCAGCACAGCTATTTCAAATCTTCAGTATAATCTGTTACTACAGTGATTTATGTATCTGTTTGTGTTCAGCGGAGGGAGGTGGCTAAGACAGTGTTCTGTCTGGTTCTGGTCTTCGCTGTGTGCTGGCTGCCACTCCACCTCAGTCGTATCCTGAAGCTCACTATCTATGATGAGAAAGACACAAACCGCTGCGAGCTGCTCAGGTAGAAAGAAAATACCAGATTTCACACAGCACACAAGAAAAAACAGAACAAACTAATTCCCTCTGGGAAGGGAAAGGTGGGAGACTAATGTATCTCTGTACCTTTCCCAGCTTCTTTCTGGTGTTGGACTACATTGGCATTAACATGGCATCTGTCAACTCTTGCATCAACCCCATCGCCCTCTACATGGTCAGCAAGCGCTTCAAGAACTGCTTCAGGGTAAGGTGCAACTCAGTCACATGTGCCACTTACAAGGTGAATATAATAGTAATCACAAGGGGAGCAGCTCAATATTTTGGGATACATGCTTATTCTCTTTATTTCAGAGAGTTAAACACTTAGCTTGGCTTAGCTTAGCTTCAGCTTGCAGTCTCTCTCACTACTTTTTTCCTGCTCTAGTCCTGCCTGTGCTGCTGGTGCCTACCAGCAGAGATCCTGATGGGTGAGAAGCAGTCGTTTATGAAGCTGAAAGCAAATGAACAAGCCTCTGACCAGAGCAACTCTCATACGACCAACAAATCTGCTACAACCAGAGTAGAGGCCTAGAAGTGAGAAGAGACCATAAGATGACAAAAAAAAACTAAATACTGTAGTGACATATGGATGACTGGATGTGCATAAATGCCCATTCCTACTCCTTCTCCAACATCATATAATGTTTCTTTAAACACTTAACAGATGCTTCTTTGGAAATCAGACCTCTGAAACTCGTTCTAACCTAAAACTATGAACTCTTCCCATTACGGAGCACTGCACACTCTCTCTGTCTGAAAAGAAATAAGCATCAGTGCCCCTCAAAAAACTCTTGGATAGCAAGTGTGAAACATGTGAAACAAGCAAACTGGTGCTAATAACACCAAATATCAAAAACTGAGCAACCTTTAGCACGAGTGCTGTGCCAAATTATGGGTGAAGGGCCAATTAGCAGACATCTCATCAGGGCTGCAGCCTGGTAGAGAACGTTACTTTATACTTTATTAACCTTGTGGTACACTATGTATTGTGTGGACTATGTTTGCGTGTGATGCCGTGTTACATATTGACACCACACTGCAGCAGCTTGAAAAATTAAACTATTAATCTAATGCTATTGTTTACATTTTTATTTGTATTCCTTCAAAATGTATGTACTGAACAATTTGCAATCTTGTCACATTAATGCCTTTAAATATATTTTCCTGTTTGTTACTAATTACTGATGTTGTGTGTTTTCAGTTTTGTGACCACTCAGTTTAATATCGGGCCTATTCTTGAGGCTTTACGTGTTTCGTGACTCTGTGTGTTTGTTTGCAACATGGGGTTGATTTAAATTTGTGAGCAGCCCTAATTGAAAGAAATCACATTCAGAATGTGTGTGTTGTTCATAGAGCTACTTACTAAACAGTCAGTAAATCAAAGTGTCAATAGAGTTCATTTAAGGTCTCATATTTAGCTCTATAAAACAGGCTTGAAATTAAAATCATTTATTGTCCATGTGGGTAATTTGGGCAGGAGAAAAAGCAATTTCACTCTATAACTGAGTTTATGCTACACTTAACAAACTCAATAAATCAACCTGCATTAAAAGAATACTTTATCAATTAACACTAATGTGTTTACTCACTTTCTTGACAAGGCACAGTTAGGAAGATCAATACTTTTTCATTTCTGTATAATAAATATGAAGCTACTGTCAACAGCCAGTTAGCTTATTTTAGCATACGACCTGAAAGAGAAAGCCTGGCTCTGAAGGAAACAACATAACTACCATCACCTCATAAAATGTAGTTGTATCTTGTTTGTTTAATCAGAACAAAAAACCAAAAGACAACAGATTGTGGCTTTATACGGGTTATATGATCATTTCTTGGCTGGGCTATGCTAAACTAACTGGCTGCTGGTGGTAGCTTCACATTCATTGTACAAACAGGAGAGTTATAAAACTTTTAGCGAGAAACATGTTCCCATATAACTGGACTAAATGCTTGACCAATCTTGAAAAGCATGTGTAAACATGAGATGTGTATATAGCAAGTATTCTGGTAATGGGGGTTAATAATTTTACTTTGTATTAGACTGAAGCTTAGTTTTTGAGGATGCTTTACATTAGTAACTTAGAAATTAATATATTCCTTTTAACACTATAAAAAAAATTTGTATCATATTTGCTATTTGAGTTTCTTAGCAAAACAAATTGCCAAAAATGCCCCATGTATCACATGTGATACAAATAAAAATAAACAAAATCTATGGCACATTTATTCCTATATGCATGGACCGTCTGTCTATGCATAAATGGCAAATAAGAATCTTGAATCTTGAATTTTCTTTAGGATTTTGTTAAAAGGTTTAATAAACATCTCAGTTCCCAAAAATGTTTTGGCTATTTTTTGATGTGTCAGGCTTTACGGGGTTAATCAGCAGTAAAGAAAAACATGTCCTCTATTACTTTTGTCAAGTACGTTGATTCTTTTCTTTGCACATGCAGCTGTAGCTCTGCATCTAGACTTAATAATGGATTAATAGAGAACAGCTTAGAACAGGACAATCTTCTTTACCACAACTAATATGGCAATCTACAGCAGTCTACTGTAGAAAGGTAATGTAACTTTTGAAATATGAATCCTAGCAGCAGATGGATGCCAAAAGGTTAATGAGACAAAGCACACAATTCAGCAATAAATACTACTGTAAACTTTTGATAGACTCTTCATGTTAACTTAGCTAACATGAAGGTTTGCACTGAACAAACACTGTGGACTTTCCTTCATTAACTCCAATTAATTCTGGATGGAAAACTGAGGCTGCAAGTCTTTCTCATTACATACACACATACTGTACATGCTGTGTTTCCATTACTTCAGGGGACATAACACTGACACAGATTCATTTCCTGGAGACCTACCCTAACCTTAACCATCACTACTACCTGCCTAATTATATCCTCATGCTAACCTTAAACCAAGTCGTCACTCTAAAGTGTAATGATTTATATTCTGGGGACTTGGTTTTTGGCCCCATAAGGATGTTGAGTCCCCACAATGTGACTGTGTAAACAGATTTATGTCTCCACAACATGAATAATACTAGGCCACACAACATTTCTTTCCAAACAAACACACACATACAGTACATGCAGTACATTTGTACAATACATACGCACAAACAGACACACACCCTGGACACAGTTTTAGAAGACATCAGGAAGTGCTGGCAAATGGCTGAACTGGACAGCTGACGGTTTTGGATCTGTGTCCCCAGGGATGGGGTGTGAACAGACCCTAACAGGCCCCTCTCTGTTTTCTCTTCCTCCATGCACTCTTTCACATTTATCTACCCTTTCCTGCCATATTTATTACATTTTGTGTTTTGCATATTTACACAGAACATTCAACGAAACTGTGCCGGAAAACTTCATTAATAATATCAACAACTGCATGAACATGATGTTTGACTTAACTTTTAACTATTTCAGAGACATTATTGCGTCATCTCTTAATCTTTTGGTGAACATTGAAATATCCTGCATAGCAAACAGCAGTGTTTGGCATAAAAACTCTCTAAGCAACTAAACTGGCATAGATATGCGTAGCTGTCTCATTCTTCTACCTTCTTTGGCTCTCACTCCTCTCTTTTGCTCTGGCCTAAATACACTATGACTGATAGAGATGTAATAATTTTAAAGCATAAGCACAAGTCTTGAATAAGACTAACTGCAGCTCTTTGTAGTTTTAGAATATCTATCCCAAACTGATGGCACAAGAAGAAAAGCTTTCAGTCCAGCATGGCTTCTAACTAAAATGTGGATGAACAAAGAAACGATGCTTTCATTGTGGGTGTGACAGAGTGTGCGTTGCCTGTGTGTTTTGCCTGAGTATAGTAAAACCATGGAAACACTTCAAGGGAAAAATGTTGATCTAAACTCAGACTAAGACTAAGACCCTTACACTGCCTATTGGCAGTGAGAACACAGAACAAAGGTATGTGAGCTGGAGCCTCTATGTATGTGCATGTGGGACTGTGCACTGTATGCAGAAATACCAAAATCCAAATGTGTGTGAGCATGAGTGTGTATGAAAATGCTTTCTGCATTTTTGGCTAATTTGATGTGCTGTTTTTGGTTACACACCATCGATTTCAGACTTTAAGGAATGGTTGATAAATGACACAAAAACACAGCTCATTATTCACTTTCACAGATGCAGCAGTAGAAGCAGCAGAAGGTAAGCAGACATGGCCAGCAGAAGGAATTCATTAGACTGACGTAGCGTGAACTCCACAACATTTCCTTCATCTATTTCCCCTTTGGCTCTGCATCAGGGGACATTCAAACTTTCTGTCACAGTGCTACATTTTTAGCATACCTCCTGTTACTGCTTCTCTGACAATGTGATGAAGTACTTATAGGGCCACAGTACAAGATAAACAATGATATATCAACCACATAAATACAAATGTGCACAGGTCAGAGACAAATACTGCAAACATACTGTAACAACTGCCTATATATATATAGCCTATATAAGATAAATTAAATGTGCAGCTGCAGTTTGTCATGGTGGTCAAATGTGCTAAAATAATACTAATATAACAAACATTATTACAGCTGTAACTAATGATTATTTTCAGTTAACAATTATTTTCTCAATTAATCACAAACTCTAAGAAACTTCAGAAAAAAAAAAGAAAAATGCCTATCACAGTTTTCCAGAGCCGACAGTGACATTTTCCAGTAGCTTTTATTTGACCAAATGAAGATAATTGATAACATTTCTGTCAATTAAATAAATCCATTACTTGACTAAGGAACTGTATGCAATGTTGTCAGGTGGTGAAGAGGGGCTTAACCTTATGTTTCCATTTGTAAAAAAAAAAAAAAGCAAAGCAAAGCACTGTGCAGGTTAAATAATAACAGTATCTTCGAAACCTGCTTTTGAAAAAACTGCAGCACCCTCAAAAAACACAAACAGTCACTTCATTAGTTTAATCATGTAGCTTAAATTATACCTTAATAACTCCTATTGTACCCCACCAGTATGGACGTTAAAGGGGAACTCTACCAATTTCACACATCAAAGTCTGTTTACAGGTGTTGGAAGGTACTATTGCATATGTCTAAAAAGAAGTTGTGTAAAGCCTTTTGTGGTTCCAGAGGTTATTGTGAAATGTGATCATTTGCCTCAAGCGATGACACTTGAGTTGGCATCATTTGGGGCTTAAGACTACAAGCTTCAGAGTGAAAAAATGTTGGGGGTGTGGAGTTTGCAAGAAGTGAGCTTAACAGACCTCTGCAGCACCCTCATCATTTCTACCCGAGCAAGCATTAGCTGCTACCACAGGAGCTTAACATTCCTGAAACTACTAGCGACTTGTCATTAGTCAAGTTGCATTGTGGGTAATGTAGGTGTCATATCTTAACACGGACAAAACATGTGTGGAATAAAAAAAGACTATCTCTGGTTCTGCTGCATCAAATTTGATTCTTTTTTTAAAAACTATCAGTCAGTGGAGTACTCTTTTAATGTCTTTCTGGCCCATCTAGTGCACGTCACCATGCGCACAGTAAAGAGATATAACTACTGTCCTCTGCATACGGTAAAGAACAACTTAATGAACCATAGAAAATGGTTTTATTGATGTAACTACTGATGTAACTGCAGTATTACCTATACTGAAAGGGCAGGCTGAAATAAAACATAAAAAATAAAATAAAAGACCTTTATCTGCTCTCCCCAAAAATGACTACCAACTAAAAGAAAAAACCCCTCTACCTTTCCTGACCCCTTCTCCTCCTCCCTAATTTTGTACACTCCCTAACCATTTTAGTTTTACACTGCACAAAACACACAAACTGAAAATAGTGATTTTATTTTAAATCTGAGGTCCATTAGATTATTTCTCAGTAATCACCTCCAGTTTTCTCTCACAGACATAAACACACATACTGTAATAATCAAACCCTGCTCTCTGGCACTTGACAAAAAACATTTTGGGAGTTAACCTTATTTTGAGTTAAACCAGCACATTCTTGCTGCCTGCTATTGCAGAAGTATGTAAGCAAACAGAAATGAAGGGGGGCCGTGGTTTACTCTGCCTTATCAGTCAAGCCCCTCCCACTGATATGGGATCTATATGGATAAAATGAAAGGTAGAATAATCTAACAAATGCTGCTGCTGCTTGCATATATTTCAATGCTTAATTTAAAATCCCCAAAATATAATTTAGCAAGAAAAGACTCTATAACATTTATGAATACAACACTTTGCCAAAATGTGTCTATTTTGTAAGAGGTACTAATACATCGTTACATTTCACATAGCAAAATATAGGTCTTATAAGAGCAAAGAACATATTTAATGGTGTTTTTTGTCAAAGAACTGATCACACTACAGGTTCCATTTTTATCTATGTATTTGTGAACATATGATAGGCCTGCAGACAAGATAGTTTGTCTTATATAAAGTTCACAAAAGGGGTAGTTATGCAACCATTACAGTGGTGATAGGATGCAGAGACAGCAGGGTTGCAGAGGGCCATGTTCTCATGAGAAGGCTGATGATTTCCCAGAAACAGTGGTGACAGTGATCATAAAGTCTGGAGCAGACTGCTGAGGATCAGTGAATAACACCCTGGGATGGATACCTTTTTTTCTGCTCCATTTGTTGTTTATTGGGAGAATGGCTTACTTCTTGGTAAGGGTGTTGGTGCAGAATTATGTCACTAGGGGGCATCAGGGACTGGGTAAAGACAGGCCTGTCTATCTGTCTGCAAGCCTTTTTTGTCCATGTTTTTATTTTTTTAATCCCTGTCTTTATCTCATTTGCCTTATGTTAACATTAATTTTATAAGGCTTCAAATAGAGTTTTATAAGATTGTAGCTCCTAAGTCTTGTTGAAGCTGACCTACATAATGATTTAATATGATATTTAGTGAGATCATCACACATATCAGCTGCCTGTCCACCTTTATATAAACCATTTGACTGTTTGCAGATCAGTTGCTTGGCTCTGTGCTCCTTTACATTGCAAATATCCCCGTGTTTACATTTGCTCCACACTGACAATGGTCACTATGGGTTACCTTGACTCACAACACAGGTAACCAATCGTAGCTCACGGGGGGGGCAGTTCTCTGGAAAAAAAAAAGAGGAAGCAAGAACTGACAAGGACTGAAGGGAACAATAAAAAACAAGCTGATCTACACTGATCTTAAGTCTGTGTGGCACTTTCCCTGGTGACTGGAGACCTGCAAAAGGAAACTGATCCCGGGTCTGTGAGCAGATGAAGGGTCTATGTTTGCCAAAAGGGATCAGAACAATATCCGTTTCTTTCTTGGATCCTCCAGACAGCTGCTGCTCTGCCTCATACAGACTCAACCTGTAAACCCAAGGTAAGCCTAAGGATTCTTATTCCATATAGCAGACCTGCTACTCTCTGTAGTAAAAATGATCTAAAACAATGAAGTGCTGTTAGCTCTTCGTGTGACTCTATGTTGCATTACATGTGCTGAACGGAAAGTGAAAGTATTTCTCAAAGTGTGTGAGTTTCTGAGCGTGGCTGTTTGACGCTGTTTAAGCACCCTGCCAGGAAAGGTTTATTAAAAAAATCTCAGCTTATCTTTTCCTTTAAATGACAGCTAAACCACACGTATATACACCAAGAAGGTCAAAACACAGATGTGTGTTGTGACCACCTCCACAGTTCCCCGATTCACAATCTGCTCCTCTCCACACACCATATTTCACTGTGTTCATTTAACAAGACCCAGTTACCCCAAGCAACAAGGACTTATCAACTGTTCCCTCACTTGCCAAACTGTTATCAGCCTGGCCTAGTTCACACACACACACACACACACACTATGTGCCCTTTTTGTCTAATACACTCGCACTCTTCTATCTCGGTCGCCGACTGTCACACACACAAACTGGAGAATGAATGTTACTGGGGCTTATCAGTGTCCTTAGGGGCCTGGCAGCCACTTCACAGAGTCAGATCCGAGTGCCAAGGCCACAGAGACAAACCTATGTGACCAGAGTACTGATGAATAAAGCCTCTATGACGTTAGAGAGGCTTCTATAGAAGCAGCAGGCTGCAGGGCACTCTAACATTGAGCATATGCACATGGCACAAAATGGCAGGCAGCAATAGCAGCTACTAGCCAAAGAAAGAAAAATGTAAAAACATACAGACTTCCTGTTAGGCTGTGACATCAGATCATCTTTTATGATCCTATTCACTCTTACAAAATACATTGAATTCAGCAGGGCCGAACGCCACGCCTCACATCCAGAGCCTGATTTTCAGGTTACAAATTAGTTTATTATGTTAAACAAGCATTACAACCTGACAAGAAAACACAGTCAGAGTAGGTGTATGGAAAAAATCAGTTCATGTTAATTCAACTATGATTATCTGTGATTTAACTTGGATAAAAAATCTCTCCCTGTGCTGCAGCTACTGATTCTTTTCTGAATGTCATACGTTTTTCTTGTTCAGTTTGGCTACTCCATGGACTAATGGTTTCAGTTCTAATCTCTCCTATAATCAAGCACTGTATACATTATTGTCAAAAGGGACTATTCCTCCTAACTTGAAAATCTTAAATTGCTTTGAGGAGTAAATTAATCTGCATTTCACTCGTGTCCTAAGTAAATCATTGAGGACCAAATGCCTGCAAACATCAGAGGAAGTCAAAAATGAGAAGGCCATTGCTGGCAGAGATGTTGGCAGCGGTTTGGCACAGGAATTCAGGAAATGGTGCCTCCTAACTGAGCTGTGCTTCCTGTGTGATAAGTGACCCAAACATGTTGCCTCTATTACACACGCGCACACACACACAGACAAAGAGGTGCACTCACATTCTCTCTCTGTTTGCCAGCTGGGGTATAAAAAAAACCTCAGGAACTGTGAGACTAGACAGAAGCTTTTTCAACCAAACTGACAATTAATGGGATTTTAATGTAGCTGCTCAGTGATTAGTATTAACGCCTTGGAAGCGATTAGTTCACAGTGCAAAATCTATTGTACACAAAACATAAATCTTGACGTGATCTTCGACATTGAGCGACTGAAGGTAAGTGCAGGTGTGCCAACAGTGCTTACAATTTAAATGTTACACTCGTGAGGGGGAGGCTGCGATAAAACAGCAGCAGAAGAGATTAAATTTACCCAGTTTACTTTAACCTACATGGAGGGCAGAGGAGTAGGGAGGCTCTGGGCACTTAGGCAGCAAAATAAGAGAAAGGAGACTGAGCGATTAAGAGGAATTAACAGTAATGTGATGACAAGAGGCCAAGAGAGGAGGCATAGAAAAACAAATGCAGAGGAGAGACTGAGGGGGGAGTTGGTTTTGTTCTAAATGTCTCCTTCATATTAATGTTGTAAGGAATGTGCATGTACAGTAACAGCCCTGAAACCTTGAACACTGTGCAAAGACATCATGTTTCAAGTTCAGCACGAGCTGCCTCCCCCTCCACTTGTACCACGTACACACACTCGCTGCAGTGCAAACGCTTCCTTCCTGTTGCTGTTTTAGCCTTATTTAGAAGCAAGATAAGAGCAAAAGAATGAGATAAATGAAAAAGTGAAGCAAACCGCTGTAAGATCAGAGTGACCAATTGGAAATTTTAATAAAAAGTCTCCTAAGTGTGTGCCACCTGACTTTCACTGCAGGCGTGGTATTTTCACTGTGTATTTTGTCTGTAACAGCTCTCCAGCTCATCCCCTCACACACATTTGTCCTTGTTTCTTTTCTCTGGTAGGTTCAGTCAAACCACAGGACAGTTAGGCAGCCCCACTTCCTCATCGAGTCGAAGCAGAGCGAGAGAACATGAGTTTCCTGTGATGCCTCTATGTCTCTGGTCAATTAGTTTACTCATCACTTTCTGACTGTTGACTTCTGCTGCATGGCAAGACATCAGCTTGGACGAAGATCTCTGGTAGATCTACAGTGACATTGCAAGCGTCATTTGCAATCATCATCATCGAGAGATTCTCTCCAAAAACTGGAACTGTGTGGACACAAAAACACATCAGACTTCCTCAGCTATTAACAGTCTTCTGAAGAAAGCTGCGATGCTGTTTTCACACAGTTAATGTTGTGTGTTTGGGATATTCAGCCATGCTACAGCAGTCAGAGCTCATCTTTGACTATGCCAGTGACCATGTTAATATGTCACAGGTGAGTACAGGTTGTATCTTTGTGGGTGCTGGAACAGAGATGTGATACAAGTCAAATTTAAAAGTAATGTTCAAAGTGTTATAATCTAATCTGATATGATTTCATTGGGTGTGATGAAACAAAGCAACACAAATGTCAGTGGAACCGGACAAAACTGTAATGTGGTGTAATCTAATCTTATTTCTTTGTGTGTGTTGCAGTTGATGGCTCACTCTGATTACCCTGCGGTAATTGTGGAGCAGGTTCCCCATCCACACCTGCTTTCATATACGGGTCTAGCGTGTGAAGAGTTACAGACAGAGGAGGACCAGCAGCAGCTGTTCAAAGGTCAGTGCATACAACACACTCCTGCTCCAGCTTTACTGTATCTGACGCTTTCACCATCTGTCCGCCCATGTTAATAGTTAGCCATTAGTACAACCTTTGTTCTGTGAAGTTTTTACTCAGGCCCTACCAAAATAAAAGTCAGACCGGGGCTGCGCCTGCGCAGTCGGTATCCTCGCTTGCACATGGCCCGCCCTCCGCAAAAATTCAGGAAGTTAAACAAAACATTCCAGATTTGTGCCTGGTAAAGTCTGTTAATAAATTCCACTAGGATGTAGACGTGGTTACGTCTGGCTACAGCATACATGCTATGGCTTGTTTCTCACCAATGCAGGGGATTAAAAGTAAGTTAAGTTCTATCGCTGTATCGATTTGTTTATCCGACATACTGTTTACAGCAGGGCGCAGTTGAACGTGTGCTTGGCGAGGCTAGCTAACGGTAACAGCATCAAAGTGCAGCACCCACAGCCAGACGTAGGCGGTTTTCCTCACTATTACAACCGTTTTGGGAGAGAAACCTACCTAGTGTGTGTGTGTTTAAACTGGGACCTTTGTTTTGACTTGTCGGTGGCTGGTTTTCTCGGCGGCAGAAAGTGTTTACGCTCAGACAGACATCTGTTAACGGGGACGTGTTTTCTAGCTCACTGCTTCACAGCCCGGTGGCGTCACACAAAACAACAGACCCCATTTAATGATATTTTGTCACAAGGACCTACATGTAGATGGATTCAGACAGATGGTATAAACTAACGAACAAATAACGTTAGTTAAATAATATTTGTTAGAGTATTGGTCCCCGACCAGGGGCTTTTCCACCCTAGGGAGTAGACTACTTGTGCTGATATCTGGAAAGATTGTGGCAAACCTGAGCTAATCGAAGCTATAGTGGCTTATAGAAATGATAATTCGCTACAAGTTGGCCTACACGTATCTGCATATATGTGTTTCAGAATTATCTTTATTTGCCAAGTATTTTGAACCCAAAAGGGATTGAAATCCGTCAAGTCAACCAGAAAAACACATGTGCATTTAAATAAAATGAAATCAAGTAAAATAGCAAACATTTTATCAATAAATATCCCAGAAAGGAGAGGTTTTAGATAGATGTGGATGTTCAAAATCAGCAGTAGATATGATTGAAGATTAGTGTGTTCCTGATCAAGTATATTTTTGTAATCTTTCAGCTGTAATAGTTTACCCCCAGCTGTTGTAACACCTTAACACAAAGCGTTTGGGTTGGGTGTATGTGTGAAAAGTAGTTAGAAAGCCAGAAAAGTTGGAATGGAAGTTACAGCTCATGGATAAATAGTTGGAATTCCTAGCAGCTGCTACTCTTGGTAGTAGAAGTACAAATGCAAACTTCACCAAACCTTTAAGAAATAAACTCAACTTTGACAGTTATTGGAGCACCGTGTCATGTATGAATTCATATGTGCAGCAGCTGTCAGTGGTGAATTACTATTGAACAATTCCAGGACAGCCCATTGTTAAAGGGGCACTTGAACCCATCTGATAGAGCTGGAAGCATTAACATCACACAAAAAGTTGTGAGCCACTTTCATTTGTGGTGCTTACAACTAGAATTCGACGATATAGGTAAAGTCCTCTGGGCGCACTGACTCTGTAAAAAGTCTAAGTTTAGTCATATTGCCTCTCATGTTTAATTTTCCTCTGCCTGCTGAAAAGTGTTTGTGTGTTGCTCCCTTTTCTGTGGTCTGTAGTGGAGCCATGTGAAAGTGGAGAGGAAGAGACCATGGAGACACTTGTTGCTGCTGACTCACTTCTCAACATGGACTGCCCTGAAACCCTCTCCCTGGAACAACACTATTGTAAGCACACACACCCACAAGCAGATACATACATAGGACTAGTTACATACATAATAACAAAATGCCCTGATAAAACCTCACCCTCTCTGCTTTTTGATGTAGGACTTGGCTGACTGCGGGATGTTATTTTTAGACCCGGTGGTCACACTGCTGTTCTCTCTCATTACATCTTTTTATGCCCTCCTGCAGCCCAGACCTTCTTACCATCACTGGGTGATGTTATCACTACTCCTGTTACCCAGGTGACTGTGTCAGCAGAGGGGATTGTGGGAGCTGCTGACCAGTCACAATGGCATTCCTTGCACACGAAGAAGCCTGTGGCACAGCTGCAGTCCAGAAAGAGAGGTCAGTTACTTACAGTATTTGCTTAACTGAAACTAAATGATGTCTTCTGTGATCATATCAATTGTCATGTGTTTTTATTCTTCATCTCTTCAGGTAGAAAAGCTCGATATCAGAGGGCAGAGTCTCCCACACCAGACATTACAGTGAAAAAGGACAAATACAACAAAGGTATTGTCATGCATACCAAAATTAGTTAAGCTGTTGTCAGACAATCATCTCATTGTGTTAATGGGATTGCAGTATGTCATGTCTCAATAAGAAACATAACAGCGGTTACACCCAGTCAGACTGAGCAACAGGTCCATAACATTTCAGTACAGCATAGGGATGGGAATTGAGAACCGGCTCCAAATTGTATAATCAATTGGAATCATACCCCTCTGTAGTTATCAATTACTTCTCTCGATGCCTGCTGTGCATTGCAAAAAAAACATATGAGAGGGAGGGGAGGGGTGCTGGCTTGACAACCACTATTAAAACCCAAAGATTATGAAGAAGAGTTTGTGTATTTACACATTTTCAGTGCTCATGTACGTCAACTTCACTCCGTGTTAATCAAAGCTACGTGTGAGCAAACAGTACATATGAGAAACTGTCAGTTTCAATGCTTGTTAGCAAAGTGCACTCAGGTAGCAGCCTCTCGTTTTTAGCTGGTGCTGATGGTCACTGTTCCTGGTTAAAATGACAAACAGCAGGGCCACATCCGCCGTCCATAACTTAACATTAACCTTGTGATTTAAACTGATGATGAGCCAAAATGAAACTCGCTGTGGGGTTTGTGCTCACTACCAGTAAGTGGGGAATAGACTTGACCACAACACCGCTGTCTGCTCTCGGCCAAAGATTGTTTATGGGGCAAAAGAAGCATCACTCTGTAACACTGCTGAAAAGTCAGGGTGGAATAAGTGTTTGTGTAGTTCCAATAACTCCAGCAAAGTGAGATGTCTTCTCTAGGAAAGCCATCAGCTGGTCTCACATCAGTTTCAGCTGTCAGAATGTCATTCATATCATGTCAATGAATCATGCAGCTCAACTGTTCATTCTGAATGAGGACCTTCAGTACTCAAAGCAACTAGCTGGTGTAAAAAAAAAAGGTGTGCCAAAGTCAACACGCTGGTAATGTGTAAATACATATTTGATGCCTTCAGGTGCTATGTATATAGTGTTTACTTTTATTGCGGTCTGAGCCTCTTTAAGGATGAAAAGTTCAACCAGTCACTCAAAACTACTCAACCTATAGATTCTGAGTTAAAAAGTAACTTTCATAAGTTGAACAGTAAATATAAACAGTAAACACCATACATTCATAACATTTGTAGTGAAAGGATTGCACCTGTTCTCCAGAACACTCAGACTCTCAGTAGTTCACGTGTTAATTTTATCAGTTTAGAAAAGAAGTATTTGTAATTTATTTTAACATGTTCAAATGTTAGATGGACATTCTACACTGTGTTCAGACTAGGTGTTAATAAAACCGCTGTGTTGGCACTGAATACCTGTGTAGGCCTACCTTTATTTTGTCCCCTCACACAGAAAATTCATAAGGAATAATAAGGGAATCGATAAAGAATCGGGGTGATGAGCAGAATCAATATATTTTGATTGGGATCAATAGAATCAGTTTCCATCCTGAGCACAACAAAAGTATGAAATGAATGCCATCACATCACTATAAAGGCTACAGCAATGCAAAACAAAAATTAAATGCAATTCCTGTTGTGCTTTCTGAAGATAGGGACGCTAATATTTTTAAGCACTGGCCCCACAGGCCACCAAGCCGTTAAATTTGGTGCCAAAGTACATTTTTGGTGCCCCAAATATATGTAACAAAAGGCAGTTTAATGCAAATTAATACAGCCTTCGTTAAGACATTAAATTCAAGTTCATATGTAAACATATCCCATCTCTTTTTTCAGCCCCCCCGATGCCTCTGCCTCATACCCTCTCTTTTGCCCCGCATTGTGCCTGACTCAGTTACGTCTCGAAACATTACAAAAAGCAGTTGAAAACCTATAATACATACTTCCAAGTGTAGCTTTCTTTGTCAAAATACATGAGCAGAGCAAATATATGTTTATATATTTATGTTTTAGAATTGAAAACGTATAGGACGTATCCTCTCAGTCTGTCAGTTCATCTTTTTCACCCCCCATGCATTCCTGTGCCTGATATAGACTCCCAGCATCATCCCTGCATCTGTCATGTGTACACCGCAGTACATTAAATCATTACATGTTATATTCTAGCCACTTAAACTCCTGCTGCCATACACTCCTAAATTTTTGTTGCTCTTTTTTTCAGTCCATGTTTTGTGTTTCAGGTTCTTCTGGTAGCGCTCATGCTAGAAGTTTGATTAGGTTTAGTAGACCCATCGTCAGCAGCCCCGACATAAGTAGCCTTCCTGTTTGCTCACAGGGCGCAAATGAAACAGGATGTTTGTAGAACGTTAATGTTGCGATGGCGAAGTGCAGAGGGTCTGTGACATGGGGTCTCATTCTCAGTAGCGATCCGATAAAGCTGGGTGGCCACAGCGGGCCACCTGCTGGAGATAAATGGCGGCCACGCAGAAATTTTTTGTGGCCATGGTTAATGTTGAACCCTGGACTTGCAGCTGTAATTAATCATACAAGTCTAATCTCATATACACAGAGAAATCAGGTAAACAATACCTGACAAGCAATAAGTATAAATGCTAAAACACTGTCAATGAGCTGACTCTTAAGAAATTCTGAGTGTTTTTGTTAAATCAGTTTCATTCTTCCCCGTTACACTGTGGGGAAAGAAAGAGGTTAAAACCTTGTAAACTACAGTAATGATCAGAACGCCAGCAGCCTTTTTCTAATGAATGAATGTCCAGTAAAAAAGCTGTTGTAAATGTTCTGTCCTCTCTGAATAAAGCAAAAGCATTTACATGATGGCTTTAGATGTATACATCATAAACAAGCAATTGTTTTTCTTTGTCTTTCCTTTTCCATCGTGTTTCCTGTGTTTGTGCGTCAGGAGGAAACACACTGTACCTGTGGCAGTTCCTGATGGAGTTGCTGCAGGATCGACAGGTCTGCCCCCGCTACATCAAATGGACTAATCCTCACGCAGGGATCTTCAAGTTGGTCAACTCAAAAGCAGTGGCCAGACTCTGGGGCAAACACAAGAACAAGCCAGATATGAATTATGAGACAATGGGCAGAGCACTCAGGTACACAGCCTTGAAAAATGACATCACAACATGCACATAAGTATCAGGATCATATCTGTACTCTGATGAAAAATCAGGGTCTTACAAATCCAAGAGTATTTTTGAGGTGTGTTTCTACAAGTGCTTAAGAGCCTTTGCATGTGCTGAAGAGAATGCTGAACAGCGTTTTTAAGTAAGATGGAATATTTAGCTCTATGTGAGATATAAAAATACATAAACTACAAAGACTGAATGTTGTAAACCACACTACAGAAATGGCTGCAGTTCTATACTGTAGATTCTCTCATGACAAGTAACATTGTAAATTGTTTTAAAAGAAACTAAATCTAACCGACACCTTTGTCCATCAAAGTGCACTCATCATGAGTATTACTGTTATATGACAAATAGGTTGACAGATGTAAAATAGTCTGGGTACACAGTATATGGCCAATTTTGTGCAGATTGACTGTTCAGTTTGCCTATTTTCCTCACTGATTTGCTATCATTTCTAAAATGATCCTAGATCAGTGAAAAGAGGGCTGTGGTTATTTAGTGTTCCTAGCTCTTCAATTCTGACCAAATATGCTGCTTGGTTTCTTAACCAGGTACTACTACCAGAGAGGCATACTGAACAAGGTTGAAGGCCAGCGGCTAGTCTACCAGTTCACCTCTCTGCCCAAAGACATGATTTATATCACAGAAGGAGATGGAACCAAAGAGGAAGAAGAAGATGATGATGATCACAACGACCATAGCGACAATGATGAAGGTATGAGTGATGACTCCGACGACAGCTCAGTAGCTTCTAGTGACCGGTCGGTTGAGGAAGAAGATTTACACCCACCACTGAAGAAATCATCCAGCTCTGTCCACGCCCCGGTTACCCAGCGAAGCAGGCCAAGGCCTTCAGGCCAGCGTGAAACCGTCTTGCGGCCCTCCAGCTCCAGCCTGATCCAGGAGCAGCATTTGCCCATTGTGTCCGCTGAGATGCTGCGGACCCTCCAGAACCTGCAGAAGGTCCAGTCCCTGCAGCCCAGCGGTCACGCCTCGGTCTTTAAAACAGCTCAGCTGCTGGGCAGCCTGTGTGAGCGACAGGCTGCTGCTGAGGTGGCTGTAGACAGTAAGGGTGCACCAGAGACCCCTGACAAACAAACACACAGAGGGAAGAAAACCTTACAAGTGGAGACGCCACAGCTGGTGCCTCTGATTACTTCTGACCAGTAGAACAGACCAGTCCAGACATGCACATACAGTACACTCCTCTGACTCAGGACCAGTTACAGAGCTGCAATTTGCTGTGGCAGTGTCTGCACACCAGGGCATATATTAAGTGTCCATGACTGGGAGGACTGATCTAGGATTATTTTTGTATTTTAGATAATGGTGACAGAAGTAAATCTAGATCAGTGCTTCCTCTCTGACATCTGAGTTGGCTGGAAATTGGCAGGACCCCAAATCTCACAGCAGTTTACCTTCTTAGCCTTTAGTCACTCTCTGTTTCTATGAATTATACAAAACACCAAAGAGACACATGCACTGGAACCTACAGCCTCTCTGCACTTCCTGCACACACACACACACCCTCTGCTTGCACTTCAGCTCCACTATCATGGAGCTCCTTATCTGATTAGCACACTGTGCCCCCTTTCTCTGCCTTTACTCTTGCACGCTATTTCTCTATTATTATTATTATTATTTTATTTTATTATTTGTTTTACTATCACATGCTGAAACATTCCTGAAAATGGCTTTGCACTAATGTTTACCCCTGCTGTTTAAGTGCCTGAAGATCTCAGACCACCCTGTCCCTATTTCCTCTGTTTCTGGTAATCATGAGGTTATTGAGGGAAAACATTCCAGATTGTAACTTTTTTTTAGATTGCTGCATTATGTTTGTATTGTGAAATTTTGAAAACAAGGGATTGCTGTTATTCCTAGAATAGGAATTTAGCACTGCAGCTGTTTTATATTCTCTGTACCTACACATTTGTTGACAATCACCAGTGAAATGGCCTTTTATTCAGCTGCAGTGCCTCCTCTTCTGTTTAGTTATAACACTTCTATAGGTGCATATGCTGCCCTTTAATGCCTTGATATCTTTATGTATTGAGTGTTATATACTGTATGTGTGTGAACATGCTTGGCATTGTGCCTTGTTGCCATTTTATTCCTCAGGTTCATTAACCTTTGTTTTTTATTTTATTTTATTTTATTTTTTTTGCTGCAGAGACTTTATACTCTATGCAAGGAGTAAAGCAGCTGGTCCTTCGTGATGCAGTAATGTTAAGTTCAGTGTTTGCCCTTAGTTTAGCCTCACAGAGCTAGCCTATAAAGTTCACCTCACTCCACATTAGAACTGAACTTGGAAGACTAAGCCTTCTGTGAGGCCAGAGGTTATTAGAAGATGCTTAGAGCTGTGCCTTTGTCCCCAGGTAACCGCTATGCAAAATAGTTTTTACTTTAAACCATTTATTTTGAAATCTACTCACTTTGCTTTATGCGGAAGTCTCTTGATACTGTAAGTTTTACCGACATGGCTATAAGCTTGTGGCAGAGGGAGAGGGGGAGTTTGCTTTTGTGTGTATGTATGTTTTGCTTTCATACAGTCCCATGGTGTTGAAAAGATTATGATCTATTATATAAAATAAATGTAATTTTTGTCAATGTATCTGTGAAATTTGTTTTTACTCATTTATTCATCCACATTTAGTTTACTGGCATTAGTGGGAGAAAGTACATGTATTCAAGTGGTGTATTTAAGTATTGGGTATTCATTTTTATGCTACTGTATAATTCCACTGCACTACATGTCAGAGGGAATTACTTATTACTCTACATTAATTTGACAGCTATATCTACTACTTACTCTATAGATTTAAGATTCTATTTTCAAATCATGTATTCAGATTGTGAAATACACTTCACTGTTATATAAGAAACTGCCAAGGACACAAGGTTGGTGAAATATAGCCCATCTGGCCTACATTCAAGACTAATGGCAAAACCTATTCATGGGCAGTGTTTGGGAATAACTAGTTACATGTAGTTAAGTTAAATTACATTGTATTATTTAGTTACTGAGAATATGTAATAAAATTTACTAATTGGTTGCTTTTGATTACAAAGGCGTTACATCCAAATGTACAGTATTTTTTTCTATTAAAAGCTTGGAATATAATATCCATTCTGTTGCTTTGCATCTTTTCACTGTGCAGAACGCCTTCTTTTGGCAAATATCCAGACAAAGCTGTTGGGACCAAATCTGAGTGCAACACCATCAAGGCTACAATCGTTTATTCTGTTCTTTGTTTGGTGCCCATCCAGTAGGCTGCATATTTTTACAGGGCACAAACAGACTAAATTAGTTGGTCCTGTCTATGTATACTGTGCTTTTTGTGTTTTGTTAAAATCAAAACACTGAAGTTATGTTGATGGTTTCAAAAAGTTTGTCAGCAGTCAGTGTTGAGCTCTGTTGTAAGGTTTTTAGGACTTTTAAGTTTTATTGCCTAGCTTAAAAGTTTTTGTTAAAAAAATATAAAAATAATCAAATAAGTTACACTTCTTTGATGAAGTATTACATATTACATTTTTAACAGAGTAGCTAGTACCTAATCACTAACCTGCTAATTACATTTCAAAAGCAACCTTCCCAAAACTGGTTGTGGGTTAAAGTGACTATAACTAACTTTAGATACTTAAAGTTCATTTTGCTAGTAAAACTTTTGTATTTTTAGACGTTTTATGTATTTTAACAAAAGTTTTTTTTTGTTTGTTTTTGTTGTTTTGTAATGTGAAAGCAATTGCTCTTTTACTGATAAGCAAGTGAATTCTTCTTTCGCCACCAACAAACATACATACATGCTGAGGCCAACCATGAAATATCTAGATAGGGATTTTGAGTAATGACATCCTTTTTTGGTAATTTGTTTTTCATATTTGCCTGATACCATATGCCATATACCGTACAGAGAGACTGCAGTGAGCCCTCCCGACCGGAAGTGTTTGTTGCTGTGTGGAGGCGGATGTGAAAAAGCCTCTCCCGGAGTAGAGCTGTGGCTGCTGCAGCTATCACGTTTCTAGCAGTAGCTTTATCTAGAACTTTCCTGTCACTTCGCGGACTTTCTCTACAGCAAAACCATGGCAACTGAAAGGCGAGTTAAACTAAACATATTACGTACTTTTTAATTCTATTTCCATATATCTGTTTCTGTTGATTTGAGTAACGTTCCGTCTCACCTTTCGTTTTAGCCGCTTTTGCGATAGCTTCATTGATGAAGATCCCCTGAAAGCTCTGGAGGTAAGTATAACAGTTTGGAAACCATAAACAAGTGTCATTAGCTATTTGATCAAGCATCTGGTGACTGTTTCAGGTTATTGTATTAACCTGTACTTTATCTGAACTGTAGGTTTATAAAAGATATTGAGTGCAGTGTCGGTGGTGTTAATATTTCTGATGTCTGCCCTGATTTTAGTACTAACTGTCTAGTTAGCTAAGTGAGCTAACCGTCCTGTTAGCATCACAGTGCAAGGAGAGCCTGGCGTCTTTAGGTCTTTGGTGTTAATTAGCAGTAGCATTCGTAAGGTAGCACTATAGTTCTTTTGTTGTAACGTTACTTTACCAAGACTACATTTCTCAGTCATATAGTAAGGAGCTATTGCTGTAAAACTTTCTTCTGATATACCGGGTTGTCAGCAAGACAAACATGCAGTGTCATCTTGACTCGAAGTAAGTAAGGGATGCTATTTAATAGTTTAACGTTTTAATCAGACGTTTCTCGAAATTGTTTGAGTTTTTATGTGGGTAAACAGCAGGCTAAACATGCTCATCAGTGCTGCCCAAAAGTACCAATTCTAAATTTGATTAGATTTTAGATCATTAGATTTTATTTATTAGATTTCCTGAACAATAAATTGTCTTTGAGCTTAGCCGATATAAAAGCAAACATTGCAAGAGGGAAAACAGCAGTATCAATCTCACAGTTTGATTTGCTTAGTGATGCTTTTTCACCAGTAACACAACTTGTATGTGCTGTCAATTTAAATGTTCTCTTTCTCCCCCCCAGGCACTTAATGAGGCCTTGCAAGGAGACTCCGATAACGCTGAGTGGTTTTGCCAGCGTGCCTATGCTCACATACTTCTTAAAAACTATAGCTGTAAGCCTACATAGTATATTTGTTTGTAGACATATTTAGTAAAGAGTCTTTTTAAGAATTGTATTTGCATCTGTATATTTCCTTACAGTAAATAAGTATTTCTTAAAATGCTAATAACTGTATTTTTTAAAATGGAGCTCACAGTATAATCTGGCTGCTTGGCCCTCAAACTTCATAAACAGTTGATTAGCTTTTTAAGGTCCTTCTAGTGTTAATTTGTGTTTACTAGAGAAAATAAGCATTGCATGAGTATTCCTGTTTTAATCGATAGCCTGCATGAATGTATATGCATTGTGTACTACTGCAATATTGTCTTCTCCAAAGGTGCTGCTGATGATGCCAAGAAAGCACAACAGCTAAAACCCAGTCTTCCTCTTGCATTCATGCGAACAGGGTGCGTTCTGTGACATGACACATAATGTGAGGGAGAATTTCATATAACTTTTAATGTATAAGATCAAATGAAGCTGCTGCTACTGGATCCAAAAAGTTGTATCTTGCTTGGCATACATTATGGTATAAAATTCACTTTTAGTCTGTAGTGGTTGCATTTCTTTAATGACATATGAAGTAGTACATATAGTGGCATAAGAGAAAAACCTTCTTTTGCTTGAGTTTTAAGCTTATCTGAATGTAAAGTATTTTGTAGACATCTGATTTTGAAATTTTGACTGATGAATTTCACCTTCCAAATTTTAATTTCAAGTCAGAAGGCTGCACAAGAAATGTTTGAACATTTCAATTTAATGAGACATGTGATGCAAATTTTGTTTTCACCTTCATTTTTCCAAAATTGCAACATTCTAAGTTTGTACCATTATTTTCGCTCCCAACTGCAGAATAGCAGAGTACCACCTGAACCACTATGAGTCAGCATATGCAGCATTCACTCAGGGACACCAACTGGATGGTGAGTACAGCCTGTTTTGGCCTCGAGTGCAAACGTTCTATCAACCCATTTCTACCAACCACTGTTCACAGCAGTAAACTGTCTGCTTCACTCCTGTCATTGAATACAAAGTGTTGAACTTGTGTTCTGTGTGAAACAATTTTATATATTACTTATACCATAGCCTCAGAGCTATTCTTCTTGTTTGGCAGTGATCTTAAAAGTGTATAAATAGTTATTGTCAACAGTTTAAACCACCATATTTGCTTAACCTAATTTTAAAAACATTTGCACCTTCTAAATGTTTGTAAAATCAGGTTAAGCAGAGCGTTGATAGCATGATCTACACCCCTCCCTGAGCCATATGCAAATTGCCCATCAACATGCTGCTTAACCTGATTTTTAAAACAACATTTATAAGGTGCAAACTCTTTAGCGGGCTTGATTTTTATTGATTTCTCATCAGGTTTTAATTGCATTCAGTCGCACATCTGGCTCAAACAGACCTACAACACTGACTCTAGCCTGATCTGTTGGATTCTAACTGTTAATGACCTTTCTAACCTGCATAAGGACAGGATCTGAAAAAGGACTAAAACATTTTGACAGACTCCAGTCATCTCTGTTTAAAGACTTTATGTGGCTTCCATCCGTCACAGATTCAGCTTGCCAAAATGCAGGATGAACAGAGTGAAAAACTTTGTCCCAGCAGCCACTGGGTTTTGAAACATTATGATGTGATTTATTTTTTTCTTTTTGGCTTGTCTATTTGTTTTACTGTGCTGAGGAGTTTTGCTGTCCATTACTGCTGACTAAACAACAAATCGCCCCTTTGCGAATAATAAATGATAATCTACCATCTATCTATATTAAAGTGCACAATGAAAAGTATATTATGCTGCAGGTAACATAGCAATGACATCCATCCATCTTTTATCTATACTGCTTATTCCTGAATAGGGTTGTGGGGCGGCTGGAGCCAATCCCATCTGACATTGGGCAAGAGGTGGGGTCCACCCTGGACAGGTCGCCAGTTTATCACAGGGCTGACATGTAGACAAACAACCACTCACACTCACTCCTACAGGCAGTTTAGAGTTGCCATTCAACCTAAGTTGCATGTCTTTGGACTGTGGGTGGACCTACGCAGGCAGTATATAAATAAAACCCTCAAACCCAGAACCTTCTTGCTATGAGGCAGCAGCACTAACCACCTCACCACTGTCCCGTCCCATAGCAATGGCATATTTATTGTATTACCAGTTAATATACTGGTGAAACTAACCTAACTGGGGGTCAAACTCACTGTAAACAAACTTTAAAAATTGATGGCAAGTACCTTTTGCAATGCTGTTTTCTTTTCCCTGTGGTAAGTGGTCATGATATTTGACTTGATAATTTAGATCACTGGTTTCTTCATTGTTCAGACAATGTGGAGTCATGTTCCTTTAGACACAACACAGACCAGAAATTCTGCACTATGTTGTCTAAAGCAGCATGACTCCATATTGTCTGAACAATGAAGAAACCAGATTACCACACTTCATAAAGAGGGGACAAAAGCATCAGTAGCTACTGAACATAAGCTGAAATGCAGGTGCAGCAGCATTAGGAGGCACAGGATGAGCCATACTACTAATAACAGGAAGATACAGCAGTTGTGCTCAAAATAAAATGACAGCACACACAATTGACTGCTTACACAACCTTGCACTGAAAAAAAAACAAAAAAAAACAGCGGGTAAGTGCTTTTGACTTGGCACAAGGATTATCAGTGGAGGCCGGTGTTTCAATGACTGATCAGACTATGTGAAGGACACTGCATGAAGTCGACCGCTACAGTCAGTGTCCAGGAAGAAAACCATTGCTCACAAACTGAAAGATCAAACCTAGCAAAGAACCTAAAGGAAGCCTGATGAATACTGGCAGCACTTTGGTCAGATACCAAAATGAGTCTGAATCAGGTGGGGTCCAGCAGGTTTGATGTGGACCTGGGGTCTTATAAAATTGTGTATTCACTAAATGGGGCTTGAAACATACATACAACACTTCCTACAGAAAAGCTGGGAGTTTGGCAACACTAATGGTGAAGCAGTGAACTGAAACCAGGTCTTATATTGATCCTTAAGGGTTTAATTTCTCTTCCTATCAAACCAATAATCATGTATCCACAATGCGATAAATGTCAGGCAGGTGTGTTAGCATTATATTGTATTTGTGCATGTAGGGCACTAATTATTCCATAAGCAACTCTCTGTTTTAAAGGTTACAGGCTGATCCGAATCATAACAATTTACATCTGTGATCCATTATTAACCTGTCATTAAGTAATTGATCGTCTAGCACTGGTTTATCAGGTGGCTCCCGTTAAACATTGTTCGGCTTCTTATAAAAAGCCATGTCCATGGATGAGTGAAGCTATTTGTAGCTATAAAAGAGACTGTCGTAAAGCAGAGCATCTGTGGAAAGCCAGTAGGTTGGAAGTTCACAGAATGCATTTTAAACATATGATTATGGAGCTAAATGAAATGATAAAGCAGGCAAGATCAGCATATTTTTCTCATTTGGTTTCCATAAACAGGAAAAAACCTAAAGTTTTGTTTGATACGATCCATAATATTGTTGCACCGTTAGTTCCTCAAGTTCCTGTTCATACGGCAGAGGACTGTAATGTGTTTTTGAACTTCTTCATGGATAAAATTCGAGATATCAGGGCCAGCATTAATCCTAGCCCAGTGAGTGTTAATACGGAAGTATCTTGTGTGGGTCTCTGGTCATCCTTTACTCTTGTTACACTTCAGGATGTGA